TTTTTTTTTTTTTTTTTTTTTTTTTTGGTACCAGGGTTTGAACTCAGGGTCACTCAACCACTGAGCCACATCCCCAGTCCTATTTTGTATTTTATTTAGAGACAAGGTCTCACTGAGTTGCTTAGTGCCTTCAGCAGGTTTTGTTTTTTTTTTTTTTTTTTTCTTTTATTAAAGAAGTGATTCAGAGAAATGAGATCAGGGAGGAGAAGGTCAGGGAAAAGAAGATCGGGAGGAGAGGTGTGGGTGGGGGTGAAGATCAGGGGAAAAAACATGTAGGTTTCAAAGCATAAAGTGAACCCCTGTTACACATGAAAAATGTAGCCTTTGAATCACCTCCTTAAAAGTCCCCTGCTGGGCTAGGTTGTGGCTCAGTGGCAGAGCACTGCGTTTGATCCTCAGCACCATATAAAAATAAATAAAGGTATTGTGTCCATCTACATCTAAAAAATATTTTTAAAAAAATAGTTCCCTGCTCCCCGTAATGAGCAGAATCACAGCCTTGGGGACAGGACTCCTTTGTATTTCTCATTAGCTGACAAAATCAAACTTATTTTTCCTTTTCCTCAAAATCAGTCCTCATTATTGGACTGCATTGAGGAAAAGGACTGAGCTTTTGGTATCATGAGTTTCCTGTAATGACGTGGGTAGATTCCACTGAGTAAGATAAGATTTACAACTGGATTAGAGTGGAGACAGTCTGACTCCAACATTTGTACTGCCATATTGTTTTCTTTTCCAACCAGGAAATAATCTGTATGTTCTTTGTATTAGAAATACCAGAGTGCCACAAGGAATCAAACAGGTGCTGAGAAGTAGCTTGGCAAGGAAAACTTTACCTCTGCACAAGGGTGTGCTACAGAGCAAAGTCTGTCAAGCAAACACACTTTAGGTTCAAGAGTACCTCAAGGATACTCTTTTAGCAAAAACCCCAATACAATAAAGCATTACTATCTATCATTCCTCATGTTGTGTACTTGTTCATCCTACTTTGTATCCTTTGACCTACATTTCACCATTTCTCCTCCCCACTGCATGATTTCTTATGTTTTACATGTTACTGTATCATTCCTGCCACTATATCTACCTATCTATTTATTTATTTAGGGCAGTACTGGAGATTGAATCCACAGGCCCTTTACTACTGAGCTAAAGGAGCGCTGTACCACAGAGCTGCATCTCCCCCCTTTTTTGGCAGAGTCTCGCTGAATTGCTAAGGCTGGATTTGAACTTGCCATCAACCTTCTGAGTTGCTGGGATTACATGCCAGCACCACTGTGCCCTGCTTCTTTTTATTTTTATTTTTAAATTTTGAGGGTCTTGCTAAATTTCCCGGACCAGCCTTGAATATCTGATCCTCCTGCTTCATCCTACCAAGTGGTTGGGTTGCAGGTATGCACCATGGCCTGGCTTTAAAGGTTTTTCAAGCAGGGGAGAAGACAACACAGCATGCATTTTTTTGGGGGAGCAAGCACTGTGGTATTGCCTGTAATTCCAGTGATGCAGGAGGTTGGCAAATTCAATCCATTCTCAGCGACTTAGCCACACCCTGAGCAATTTGGGAGACTCTATCTCAAAATAAGGAAAATTAAAAGAACTGAGGCAGTCACTTGTCAGTAAAGCCACACCGGGTTCAATATCTAGTCCCTAAATAAATAAGAGGAAGCAAAAGAGAGAAAAGTGAATTGGAGGTGTATGCAAAAGATAGTATATAATGATTGTGTACGGAATTTAAGATAACTAAGGAGGGAAAATGACCCAAAAGTTTGGGGAAAAGCAGGATCACATGATTTTGAGGACCTGTTGTTGCTACTAAGAATCAAATCTCAGGGCACTACACCACTAAGCTAGTTACATCCCTAGTCCGTTTTCTTTTTTTTTAAATTCTGATTTGTTATACATGATGGCAGAATACAATTCATTTCATATTATACATATAGAGCACAATTTTTTCAAGTCACTGATTGTACATAAAGTATTTTCACACCATTCGTGTCTTCATACAGGTACTTAGGGTAATGATGTCTAACTCATTCCATCATCATTTTTACCCCCTTCCCCCCTCCCTTCCCTTCCCTCCTCTTTGCCCTATCTAAAATTCCTCCATTCCTCCCATGCTCCCCTCCAATCACCATTTTGAGTCAGTATCCTCATATCAAAGAAAACATTCGATATTTGTTTTATTTTGGGGATTGACTTGCTTCACTTAGCATTATATTCTCCAACTCCATCCATTTACCTGCAAATACCATGATTTTATTCTCTTTTAACGCTGAGTAATGTTCCATTGTGTATATATACCAAAGTTTCCCTATCCATTCATCTAGGTTGGTTCTATAATTTGGCTATTGTGAATTGTGCTGCTGTAAACATTGATATGGCTGTGTCCCTGTCATATGCTGTTTTAAAGTCCTTTGGGTATAAACTGAGGAGTGGGATAGCTGAGTCAAATAGTGGTTCCATTCCCAGATTTCCAAGGAATCTCCATAGTGCTTTCCAGATTGGCTGCACCAATTTGCAGTCCCACCAGCAATGTATGAGTGTGCCTTTTTCCCCACATCCTTGCCAACATTTATTGTTGCTTGTATTCTTTTTTTTTTTAGCTTCCTGATATTTTATTTTGAGTATTTAAGCTGCTTTTGGTTGCATGCCCTGATCTGTAGAAGTTAACAAGGAAATAACATTTCCAAGTATTTAAAAAATTTACTCATCTTCCATAAAGCAACTTTTAATGTATTATCAACACTTAAAAATACACAGTGACTTAATGAAACATCAGTACAACTGCATAGAATTGAGCTCCAGAAAACTATACACTTACAAGCTGTCTTTCCTGGGCTCTGGTTTACAAAGTATTATTGGCTTAGAGACCAGCTTAGAGTCATTTGTCCTACCTGGAAGATACAGGCCAGGAAACTCATTTGACTTCACAGGCCTTTTCGGTTCCTAAATAAAATACTGGGAGCTCTCGGAGAATCTTAAAAACCACCAACCATTTAAACACATACACTGGGGACCCTTCCTCTCTGTAAGTCAAGGAGGATTTGTGACCTTCACTGAAAACAAAACAAAAATCACATCTCCCACAACTCTTCTAAGAGACTCTGAAATGTACTAGAAATTTCAAAACTAGAACAATGCCATCAAAGATTAAACCTCTTAATGCTTGGAGCCACACCAAAATAATAAAATTGGTAACTCCAATAAAACAGGTACCCAAAGAATCAAAATAGTGATTGCACTGAGGATTCTCTTCTTTGAAGGCTGTTTAAGGAGGTAGGATTTTAAGGTTTTCTTTTCTTTTTTTTTTTTTTTTTTCCTTTTGTTTGTTTTTATTTATCTTTTTGGCCTCTGAACATTTAAAAAATGCTTTGCCCGGCTGGTCCTTCAGGCTATTTTTGGAGTTTATAATGAACCCCAAGCCTGACATAAGGATATTCTATAGTTTCACAGCTATCATTTGTACATATTAAGTTGATTTACTCTTTTTAAGTAAATCTAACCAGAAAATGGCAAATTATATTCCTTTACATACAACTTTGTGTCTCAAAGTTCTTGAAAAACAAAAGATGATTTTGTATTCAAAGACTACCAAAGTATGTATTTGATATTCACATGCAAACAACCTAAAACCTTATAAATCTCATGTCAACTCTGCATGATGCCTTTAAAAAGGAAATGACATACAAAGTTTGTAACTGTGCAAAATATTAAACTGCTAAAACATTTTACATAATGAAATAATACATGTAAATGTATAAGTTGACACATGAAAGTTACATGGCATAAGAACTTATCACATTTCAGAGATTTTTCTTGAGTAACAAGTTTTTGTTTTTACAGTTCCTGGTACACAGCAAAGTTTATCACAGAAGATAAAAATCCTTTTAAACAAATCCAACGGAATTCTTGAGGCACCTTCTCATATAAAACACAAGATGAATGCAATTATCAATCCATCTGAGAAAAGTTTTCAATCTAACTGAACATCATTTTTTCCCATTTAACTATATTTTACAGAACTTTAATAAGGCAAGACAAATTTGTGAAAAAATGTAAATACAAAAATGATGTAAACTAATAATTTATATTTAAAAACCCCAAGGGGTAACAGTGAAGATGGGACAGCTCAAACAATGCCTATTATTTTTTTAATCTAAAACAGAATTGTGCACAAGCTGAAGATAACAAAGAACTTCTAGACTTTGCACAGTTTTGGTTTTTCTCTCTTTCTTTTTTTAAAACCATCTTTACATTACATGTTTTAAATCATATCAGGAATGCAAACTAGAACTGCACACTACTTTAGTGGAAAAATGTTCAACATTGTGCAATTTTCTGCCTCTTAATTTTTAAAAAGTGGCAGCAATCCCTGCATTTGTATTTGAAACAAGGATCTGAGAAACTTTATCAAAAAAGGTAATGAAGGCAAAAATTGGCAGACATCCAGCATCTTGTTTCTTTTTAAAAACAATGTGGATGATAAGTAATTTCATGATTAAAAAATGAATCTTTTAAATAAATACATTGTATCTGATATTTGCACTGACTGATTTGATAAATCTTTTAAGTAAACAACGGCTTTACTACACTCCCTGTAGCCTCAAGCCACTGGCTTTATATTCTAGAGTCCTTTTTCACTGGGTTTCATACCCTGCCACTCGATACCCCGCTGGCTGATTAGGCAACATGCTGCCATTCTGTCCTTGAGGTGGCTGTACTCCGTAATTTGGTCCCATCCAAGGTGCAGAAGACTGTGTCTGATTAAATCCCTGCTGGTTCCATGCCTGGCCATACATTCCATATGCAGGTACTTGCCATCCATTAGGCATATACTGGCCAATCTGTTGTGCGTTTCCATACTACTGGCCCCACTGGCCATAAGCTTGTGGATATCCAATTTGATTCTGCTGCTGCACAGGATTTATCATATCAAGAGTTTCTTTGCCCCAATAGCATTTCACAACATGACCTTCAATAGTAGTACCATTAACAGAAACAATTGCATGTGCGGCACTTTCATGGGAATTAAACCTCACAAATGAATATCCTTTATCTGGAAAGACTCGAATTTCCATTATTTGCCCAAATGGTGAAAAAGTCTGACGCATTAGTTGTTCTGTTAGTCCAGAAGTAACACCTCCACAGTAAACAGTACAGTTGCTTGGACTAGACTGATTTACAACCTCATCATATGATAGCTGTTTAGTGTTTGACTCATATGTACTCTTTGGAGCTGGAGGCTTTCGGGTTGCCCAGTTAGTTCTGATTTGTCGTCCACCAAGCCATTGGCCACCCATCTGTTGAATAGCGTTTTCAGCATCCCATTTGTTGAAAAAGGAGACAAAGCCATATCCTTTAGACTTTCCTGTTGCCATATCTTTTACCACTCGGGCATCTGATATTCTTCCAAATGGTGCAAAAGCTGCTTTTATATCTTCAGTTGTAATTTCTGGACTGAGATCACCAACAAAGACATGGAAATGATCTTGTGAACGCTGTGTGCTGACAACGGTACTACTGCTTGTATCTTTCTTTTGACTGCTGGGAGTAGTTGCCCAATTCACTTTGACTTCCTTACCCATTATCTTCCGCCCATTCATAGCAGCAAGTGCTGCAGCTGCATGACGATGTTCATGAAACTCCACAAAACAATATGGATCGTTTCCAGCTGTATCCATAATCATTTTGCAGTTTTTACAAGGTCCAATCTGGCTGAAGAGTTGGAGAATCAGAGCTTCTGTTACATCTCTGGAAAGGTTACCAACATATAGAGTCTTGGGCATCTCGTCCTCCATGGCTGCTGCTGTCGTGGCGGTGCCTCTGGGTCCAGCTCCCTGCCCTTCGCTACCTCCCAAATCATATGAACGGCTATGGCTGCGGGATGGCGGGGTTTCTCGGCTGAGCGGAGGTTACTTCGCAGTCTTCTTCCACGGTAATTACGCCGATATGCCCCACGCAGCCCGAACAATGAAGCCCCGATTCAAGATTTTGCTTGTATTCTTGGTAGCTGCCATTTTGACTGGAGTGAGATAAAATCTTAGAGTAGTTTTGATTTGCACTTCTCTAATTGCTAGAGATGTTGAATATTTTTTCATATGTTTGTTGATCAATTGTATATCCTCTTATGAGAAGTGTCTATTTAGTTCCTGGGCCCATTTATTGATTTGATTTTTTTTTCTTTGGTTTTTGAGTGCTATATATATGATGTGCTTGTGGTAAAGATTTACTCACATTCTGTAGGCTCTCTGTTCACCACTGATTATTTCTTTTGCTGAAAAAAAGAAGCTTTTTAGTTTGAATCCATCCCATTTATTGATTCTTGGTTTTAATTCTTGTGCTACAGTAGTTTTATTAAGAAGAGTTGGGGTCTAATCTGACATGATGGAGATTTAAGCCTACTTTTTCTTTGTTAGGTGAAAGGTCTCTGGTTTATTTCCTAGGTTCTTGATCCACTTTGAGTTGAGTTTTGTTGATGGTGAGAGAGATTTAATTTCATTTGGTTATACGTGGATTTCCAGTTTTCCCAGCACCATTTGTTGAAGAGGCTATCTTTTCTCCAATATGTGTTTTTGGCACCTTTGTCTAATATAAGATAACTGAAGTTATGTGGATTAGTTTCTGTGTCCACTATTTTGTACCATTGGTCTACAGATCTATTTTGGTGCCAATACCATGCTGTTTTAGTTACTATTGCTCTGTAGTATAGTTTTAAGTCTGGAATAGTATTGCTTCCAGCTTCACCCTTCTTGCTAAAGATTGATTTGGCTATTCTGGTTCTCTTATTTTTCCACATGAATTTCATGATTGCCTTTTCTATTTCTGTAAGGAATGCCATTGGGATTTTGATTAGGAGTGCATTGAATCTGTATAGTTCTTTTGGTAGTATGGTCATTTTGACAATATTAATTTTGCCTATCCAAGAACAAGATAGATCTTTCCATCTTCTAAGGTCTTCTTTAATTTCTTTCTTTAGCATGTTGTAGTTTTCATTGTAGAGGTCTTTTACCTCTTTTATTAAATTTATTCCCAAGTATTTTATTTTATTTTTTGAGGCTATTGTAAGTGGGATGGTTTTCCTAGTTTCTCTTTCAGTGGATTTGTCACGGATATACAGAAATGCCTTTGATGTATGGGTGTTGATTTTATATCTAGCTACTTTGCTGAATTCATTTATTAGTTCTAGGAAATTTCTGGAGGAATGTTTTGGGTCTTCTAGGTATAGAATCATATTGTCTGCAAATAGTGATCATTTGAGTTCTTATTTTCCTACCCATATCCCTTTAATTTCTTTCATCTGTCTGTTTACTCTGGCTAGAGTTTCAAGAACTATGTTAAATAGAAGTGGCGACAGAGGGCATCCCTATCTTGTCCCAGTTTTTAGAGGGAATGCTTTCAATTTTTCTCCATTTAGAATGATGTTGGCCTGGGGCTTAGCATAGATAGCTTTTACAATGTTGAGGTATTTTCCTGTTATCCCTAGTTTTTCTAGTGTTTGAACATGAAGAAATGCTGTATTTTATCAAATGCTTTCTCAGCATTTATTGAGATGATAATATGATTTTTATCTTTGAGTCTATTGATGTGATGAATTACATTTATTGATTTCCGTATGTTGAACCAACCTTGCATTCCTGGGATGACCCCTACTTGATTATGATACACTATCTTTTTGATATGTTTTTGTATTTGATTTGCTAGAATTTTATTGAGAATTTTTGCATCTATATTCATTAGAGATATTGGTCTGAAGTTTTCTTTCTTTCATGTGTCTTTGTCTGGTTTTGGAATCAGGGTGATATTGGCCTCATAGAATGTGTTTGAAGTGTTCCCTCTTTTTCTATTTCATGAAATAGTTTGAGAAGTATTTGTGTTAGTTCTTCTTTAAAAGTCTTGTAGATCACAGTTGTCTATCCATCTGGTCCTGGGCTTTTCTTGGTTGGTAGGCTTTTGATGGCATCCTCTATTTCCTTGCTTGAAATTGATCTGTGTAAATTGTGTGTATTATCCTGACTTAGTTTAGGCATATCATATGCCTCTAGAAATTTGTCGGTGTCTTTGATATTTTCTATTTTATTGAACTACAGATTTTCAAAATAATTTCTAATTATCTTCTGTATTTCTGTAGTATCCATTGTAATATTTCCTTTTTCATCGTGGATGTTAGTAATTTGAGTTCTCTCTCTCCTTATCTTCATTAGCATGGCTACGGTTTATCAATTTTATTTATTTTTTCAAAGAACCAAATTTCTGTTTTGTCAATCCTTTCAATTGTTTCTCTTTTGTTTCAATTTCATTTATTTCAGCTCTAATTTTAATTATTTCCTGTCTCCTATTGCTTTTGGGGTTGATTTGTTCTTCTCTTTCTAGGACTTTGAGATGTAATGTTAGGTGATTTATTTGTTGAACTCCATGCAATGAACTTTCCTCTTAGCACTGTCTTTGTAGTATCCCAGTAATTTTGATATGTAGTATTGGTGTTTCCATTTACTTTGGAGAATTTTTTAATCTCCTCCTTGATATCTTTTGCAACCGCTTGTTCATTCAAAAGCATATTATTTAGTCTCCAGATGTTGAAGTAACTTTTATTTTTTATTTTATCATTGATTTCTAATTTAATTCCATTGTAGTCTGATAGAATGCAGGGTAGTACCTCTACGTTTTTGTATTTACTAAGTTTTCTTTGTGGCATAACATATGGTCTATTTTAGAGAAGGATCCATGTGCTGCTGAGAAGAAAGTGTATTCATTCATTGATGGATAATATACTCTATATATATCAGTTAAGTCCAAGTTATTGATTGTGTTATTGAGTTCTATAGTTTCTTTGTTTAGCTTTTGTTTGGTAGATCTATCTAGTGGTGAAAGAGGTGTGTTAAAGTCACTCAGAATTATTGTGTTGCGATCTATTTGACTCTTGAACTTGAGAAGAGTTTGATTGATGAATGTAGATGCTCCATTGTTTGGGGCATATATATTTATAACTGTTATGTCTTGTTGATGTATGGTTCCATTAAGCAGTATGACATGTTCATCTTTATTCCTTTTGATTAACTTTGGCTTGAAGTCTACTTTATTTGATATGAGGATGGAAATTCCTGCTTGCCTATGTAGGCATGTGAATAGTATATTTTATCCCAACCTTTCACCTTCGCTTTGTGGGCATCTTTTCCTGTGAGTCTCTTGAAGGCAGCATATTGCTGGGTCTTTTATTTTAATCCAATTTACCAGCCTATGTCTTTTTATTGGTGAGTTTAAGCCATTAACATTTAGGGTTATTATTAAGATATGACTTGTTATTCGTCATTAGTTTATTTTTGGTATTTCGCTTGACTTGGATTCACCTTTGGTTGGCTTTTCTTTTATGCTAGTTCTTCCCTTGCAGATTTCCATTGTTGTTTTTCATTTCTTCCTTGTGGAATATTTTGCCAAGAATGTTCTGTAGTGCAGGCTTTCTTGCTGTAAATTCTTTTAGCTTTTGTTTATCATGGAAGGTTTTTATTTCATTGTCAAATTTGAAGCTTAATTTTGTTGTACATGAGATTCTTTGTTTGCAACCATTATCTTTTAGAGCTTGCTATATGTTGTTCCAGGATCTCCTAGCTTTAACAGTCTGGATTGAAATATATGCTGAGATCCAAATTGATCTTCCCTTATAGGTAATCTGATTTTTCTCTCTTGCAGCCTTTAAAATTCTATCTTTATTCTGTTATGCTAGGCATTTTCATTATAATGTGTCTTGGTGTAAATCTGTTGTAATATTGTACATTTGGTGTCCTACAGGCCTCTTGTATTTGATTTTTCCAATTCATTCTTTATGCTTTGGAAATTTTCTGATATTATTTCATTGAAGAGATTGTGCATTCCTTTTGTTTGAATCTGTGAAGCTTCCTCTATCCCAATAAATCTTACATTTGGTCTTTTGATGGTATCCCATAATTCTTGGATGTTCTGTTCATGGTTTCTTAATATCTTCACTATGAGGTCAACATTATGTTCAAGATTATAAATTTTGTCTTCATTGTCTGAGGTTCTGTCTTACAAGTGGTCTAGTCTGTTGGTAATGCTATCTATTGAAATTTTAATTGGCTTATTGTTTCTTTCATTTTGAGGATTTCTTATTGTTTTTTTTTTCCAGTGTCTCTATCTCTTTCTTGAAGTAATCTCTTGCAACTTGTATTGTATTTGCTATCTTTTCTCTTTGTTGGTATGATCGATGGTCGCCTGAATTTGTCCTCTTAGCTCTTTGTTGGAGTGATGGGGTTTTGCCTGTATCTGCCCACTTAGGTCATTCTTTAATTCCCAAATCATTTTAGTTATGTCTATTCTGAACTCCTTACATGACATTTCACCTACTGCACTATCTATGGGTTCTATTGTTGTAGTGTCTTCATTTGTTTGGGGCACTTTCCCCCTTGTTTTTTCATGATGTCTATGTGTCTTCCTCTTATGCAGTATAGATCTGAGGTATTACAGCTTCTTCCCTATTGTCTTATAGTGTGCCTACAGTTTCCCAATACCTCACTTTTAAGAGAGAGATCAATATTATAGCACTCAATGTATCCAACGTGCAGCCATGTATCAGTTATCTTCTATTTTTTACATTTACAGTTTTGTCACTATAAACAGAAATGATGAGTTCAGTTATCTTCAACCATATAGTCAATAGGTTTGCGTAATGGTTTACAATTTCTAATAGTGAAAGGGGGTCCTGGGGGGTTGGCTGAGATGTTTATGAGGTAGGATGTGAGAATATGGAGGTATTAGATTATATGATTAGTGAGGATAATCATAAGAATTTGGCTGTTAGTAGGAGAAACAAGAGATAAACAACGCCATGCAAGACTCCCTGTTACCTTAGTACCAGGATAACTGTTAGCACCCTTAGTAGAGAAACCTCTGGTGCAGCCAGGCCACAGGGACCTTGATGACATCTTACTAGGTCTTTATTGTTGCCTCTTGATAGAAGTGGTGATATCCCAGTTTCGTGATGGTGGCAGCCTCAAGCCTGTGTGTTTCCTGATGTTGGGCTGTGGAGCCATGCTTTGGTGAATAAGGAACCCCAGTGCAGGGTGGCTCTCTCTGCAGGTGTGGGGTGGTGGGCAGGTGGGCTGTCCCTCCAGAACTCTGGGTTATGGTGGCACAGGCTGGCAGGTGGGCTCTGCCTCTAGAACTCCAGGTGCAGTGGCCATCCCCAGTCCTTTTTAATTTTATTTTGAAAGAGGGTCTTGCCCAGGATGGCCTTGAATTTGCAATCATCCTGCCTCAGCTTCCTGAGTTACTGGAATTACAGACATGCATCATGGCACCCAGCTCACACTATTTAAAAAAACAATTAAGTTATAGATGGGACACAATACCTTTATTTTACTTATTTATTTATATGTGGTGCTAAGGATGGAACCTATTGCTTCACATGCGCTAGGCAAGTGCTCTACCACTGAGCTACAACCCCAGCCCTCAAACTATTTTTTTCATATGTCCTCTATTGTAAGCGTGCAATTTTGCAGAAGGTAAGTTTGTTTTTTAGGAAAGGATAAATTTCATTATAGTGAAAATGTGTGTGTATTTTTGCCCTCCACTTTTTTTTTTTTTTAAACGTGGAACACTTCATGAATTTGCTCGTTGTCCTTGTATAGGGGCCATGCTAATTTTCTCTGTATCATTTCAATTTTAGTATATGTGCTGCCAAAGCGAACAGTTAATTGTCATTTAGATGCAGATACTATAGGGAGCCTTGTCTAGGCTAAACTATATACCATCTGGCTTGGCACTGTTAGTACTCTCCCCTTTCTTCTTCCCCAATTCCCCCAAATCACAGTAATCTGCTCTTGGATCCCTGAGGCTGCATCAGGTTAGGGCTGGTCCTTGAGGGGGGAAGTAGGACAACTGGCTTATTGCTTATTAGAGTCCACTAGGCATTGTAAAGGAACATTTATCATACTAATAGCCCTGAAATGTGAGCTGAAAATTTTCAACTTGTTGCAAAATAAAAATATGAGAGAAGTCTTAAGAACTTAAAGCAAACAGTAAATGCCAGTGATGCATGATGCCTCTGATTATTTAAGCCACTAGACCAGAGACTATATTAATAAGATAGCACAGATCATAAATCTGTGACCAAAATAGTATGTGGAAGCCTTTTGGAGGTTAGAACAGATTGGGCAGCAAATGGTCAGAGTTGGATGAAGATTAAAATACTATCTGAGACATTTGATGAGAGATGACACAAAAAAATACACTTTAGCTGGGCATGGGGGCATATGCCTGTATTCCAGCGGCTTGGGAGCCTAAGGCAGGAGGATCACAAGTTCAAAGCCAGCCTCAGCAAAAAAAAAAA